AAATTAACTAACTAGGTAGCGAGACGATAGACGACGTACGTAGTAGTATATATATATATATATATATATATATATATATATATATATATATACATATATATATATATATGCAGTTTTGAGTTGATATTATGTGTGAATATATGCGTTGTTTGGTATTTATATACATGTAGTGCAGATATATTCTGTTGGGGTACATGCGAGTAGATAAGCCTAAAGTGTAACGACGTTGGTGGTTCCCTATAGTGTAACGACGTTGGTGGTTCCCTATAGTGTAACGACGTTGGTGGTTCCCTATAGTGTAACGACGTTGGTGGTTCCCTATAGTGTAACGACGTTGGTGATTCTGTACAAGGAAGGCCGAAATTAAATGGCACTTACCACATTTCAGTTACAAAAGGAATGTTGTCAGATCAAAGTACGAGATGAGGTAGCACCGGGCGTGTTTACCTACATGGGCGAAGGAAAACTTGACACTGAAAGGATCATAGAACCTCCACGCATGTGCACATCATCCTTCCATACTTCAGATTTCAATAGCAAAAGTATTGCATCACGCTTTTCCTTCTCGCATAGTACAGGCACGATACGAGCTATAACAAAAAACAAAACAAAACAAAAATCCATCACAGCTACATCGCCTCAGCAACGCCAGCCAGCGTTTCTCACAAACCATGGGGCGCTGTCGCAATACATGCCACAGTCCAAACAACCGCAGGCACTCCATTGAGACATTTCATAGTGGGCCTACCCGTGCGGCTGCTGCTTCCGCCTGTTTCACTTCTTTCTCCATCGCCCTAACCGTAGCGACGAGCTCGGCATTCTTCTCTTTGAAGGTCACATGGTCAGTGATGGCGTTCCCTTGTATCTCGAGTATCTCTTTAATCGCCGACGTCAACTCTGCCCGTGTCCTGGTTTTAAAGTTGAACGCGGCAGTTCACGTTTAGAGTGTGTATCATACTACTTGTTTGTCGCCTCTTGATTGTTTATTAGCAGTACGATTGACAGTGTACAAGTACGCGGGTGTGTAACATGCTTGCAGGCAGCACTGTATCCTGAACTCTCGGAGTGCAACGTGTGAGTCTATTAATTCCGAATATGTACACATAGATATGTCCTGTTCCCGTAATACGTAAGATTAATACACTCATACGTAGCACGGTTCGTAATATGAAGCGGATGTTTGTGTTCGATACCTTTTCAAGTCTTCTGACGTGGTCTTGGTCTGCTCCATCAGCTCCTTCGTCCTGTGCTTATTGTTATGTTTCTCTAATTCGTACTTGCGCTCCAACTCGGCAATTCTGTGGCTGGACACTACGGCAGATACCACAAATGTTTTTGGTTTTTAGAGCGACCTAGCAATATCTTATCGCTATGCACTTTGCGTCACTACCTTGGACAATCATGAAAATCTAGGATTTACAAGCAACAGGCCTGTCTGCATTAAAGCATTAACGCGTGAAATACCGCGAGCGCAAGACATGCGTATAGAGTTTGAAAAGTAGCCACGCACACGTTTCTACACCAGGACCCAGACAAAACATACAATCACTCCTTCCAGACAGTGACGTACACCCACACTTGCCAGCCATACACACCTTCTTTCTCCTCTGACAACTGCCGTTTAGTCGTGCGGAGACCGAGTTTCAGATTTTCGATTCTGCCCTGCCACTCGTCAGGGCATCTGTTCAACCCAGACACCCCGCCAGTGCTGGCGTCTCGGGGCCGTAATCTGTGCGGCTGATGACCTCTTGGCTCTACGCAGACAGAGGTATCCGTTTAAACGTTGTGGCTATGTTTTGGTTGTATTGTATAGGACATGCGCATTGATTCAAGCCTGTGATGAAGAGAACGGATTCTCTGACAAATTTTGAATACGGACAACGTAGCCATGTAGTGTGTGCGCTTCCAGATACTGAAGCAAAAAAAAAGCAGCAAATGCGTACCTTGCCTCCTGGCTTCCAACTGCTTGTTCCGGTCCACCAACAGTTGTATTGTTTGCCGATCCTTTTGCTCCTGTATATTGAAAACATATTCAACTCGTAAAGTGATTTACTTATATTCAACTGTGCTCACATGTACGACGGGGGTAATGCAAGCCCTGGATTATGCATCTCACGAAGCGAGGACTATAACTTTGAATTAGGAATCTCATTGAAACATGACTCTGCTCCGCTCGTTGAGTATCTAGTTTGAGATACGAAGTACTCGGGATCGGGGCTCGCCAAAATCTATCTCAGAATTGGACGCGTTAAATATAGAAATCCTATGTGGTCGTCGTGTGTTTTGCGTTTACTGAGACGTGCTCCGTAAGCCACATTCAGCTATATGGCTATTTTAGTACGTTTGAGCAAACTACATACACAAGTATATCTGCTCCGTGTACCATCTGCTACTGCAAACAGCGGGGTGTGAAATTGGCCATGAAGGTGTTGACATCGTTATATGTACGATAGTTGCAGATGACAAAAATATATTTACGTTTGAAACAATGTGATACCTGATAGACGTATTATGGTGTCAAGAACCTCTGATATGCATCCACTTCAACAGGTAATACACTCAATACAATAACTTGTGTCATATTATATTCGACACAGTGAATCTCCGCTCAATAGGCCGATAGCAATAGCAAAATACTTAATGGGGTATATGCACTGGGAACAGTCGCTGTGAGTCTCACCTGAATATGAAGCTGGTCTATATCCGCTTGTAAATTCAGCGTTCGTAACCGCTCCTCGTGCAATGCTTTCTGCGGATACCAATTACAATTAAAATGATGGACAAGCATATTTCAATAAAGGAAACATCCACAGGTATTTTAACCTCAATCTCGTATCTACTATGCCCAGCAAACGAATAAGGAGGCTGACTACATAATAAACGATACCTACACGCAGAAACTATTGTTAAAACTTGCAACGTATTGAATCCACAAGGAATCCCAAAGCTTTGGGGATACACACCTGCGTATCTGCGACGCTGAGTTCAAGCTGCACCACCTGTTGTAGGTACTGCGCCGCGGCGCGCTGGGCATCATACTGGGAGGAGATGAGTGGAAGATAGCTATTTAGACAAGTACGATGGCATGTGTGTATCTTGTTATGACAGTAAGCAACAAACTGTGGAGACAACAGCGGAGAAGGATGTTCCAAGTTACTGTCATTTGGCACTATTGAATAGGTAAATCCTTTTTCCAAAATTCTTCCAATTTCTCCCCAGCGCCGCATGGTCTCTCTTTCATGCGAGCTGCCAATATTATGCACATGGCACTACTTTGGTCAAAGAATAAAGCTCACACAATGTCGCATTGGCGGCTTTAGTAACTTCTACGCCATTGCGCGAAATGCCTCGATATCTTCTCATCAATTCGTTGAGAATGTCCACCAGTCACATACGGATCCGTTCTTCTTACACGAAGTATGTGATACCACCAGTAGTCGTGCATAAAACATGAAGTCACACCTGTTCTGATGTTTTAGCCTGGTGACGTCTCAGTAGTGAAATCAGTTCCTCTTTATCTGAGTGATAGCTCTTCATACGCAATCGAATTTTCTCAGCCCATCCACTATTCTCCCTGCAATCAACGCAAAAGTCACTTCAGGGTACGAGACTGAATCTAAAATAGCACATCCGGAAAACTCTGTATAATTAGATATATATAAATAAATATATATATCTATATATACATATATATATGTGTGTGTGTGTGTGTGTGTGTGTGTGTGTGTGTGTGT